AGCCTCTACAGCGTCATGGAGGGCGCCATGAAGGGAATAAAGAACGAGGACACACTCGACCCAGAGGAGTAAAACAAAAAAGGACTCGAAAGCATCAGCAGCCACGAGACAGCACGAAGACCCTGCTGGATGGCACAGAGATTTTCGAAAAAGCACGCCAAGTCGGAGGAGGCGGCCATCTCCAGCGGCCGCAAGTGAGAGAGCCCACTGGCAACGCCAAGAGGCGTACTAGCGAGGATCCCTCGAAGTGCGACTAGGCAGGCAGGACGGACAGACTCAGCGGGACTTTCACTACCGGGGAAATCTCGGCGTGAGGGCCCTCAAGAGAGTGCTTGCGCAGACAACGTCTTGGGATGTGTTTTTTTGGAGCGCCGACAGATACACTACTGCAGGCAGCGAATATGGAAAATGCGAGTCTCACGAATGCCACCAGAGCTCATCCTCGAGGGCCCCACGGAAACAGGAGGATTGAAGGAAAAACTGTAAACCAACCTCCAACTTGCCGTGACTACCAGCATGCCCCCCCCCTACCTACACTTCGAGGGGGCATAGTGGGGCACTGCTGCAGGGTATCCGAGCACAGATACGACAACGCATAGGTCAACCATCGGCCAGTGCGCTTTGCAAGAGAAGTGAGCCGAGCGAGAGAGAGAGAGAGGAGATAACTGGGTCGCATAAAACGAGTAGGATCATCAGGCCCCCCAGCACAAGTTTGGAAAGCTTGGGCCTCCCGATTTTCCCCCTCTTCTCCCTTTGCGAGGTCGCGTCGTCATCTCTTTCCCCTTAGCTTGAGAGCCCTGCTCGCCCGGCGCGTCCCCGCTTCCACGGGCGCGCGGGGGGGCCAACAGTTGCTCCCCCCGCACTGACCCACAGGGACTCGCACCCACAGGGTAGCGAGCCTCTCTGCTGGGGCAACCTCGGAGCTCACCTCTTGAAGCTTCGGGGCGTGCCACCTGCCGGCCCCAGTGAGAAGTCAGGACTGTTGCACAATCGATCCGCGGGGGGTTTTGCCAGACGCGCGCAAGGCACCAGTGTCGGTGCGTTGACGTTGACCCCCTTTTATGCGGATGTCCTGTGTCCTGTTCTCCTCCCCCCCTCCTCCTCCTCCTCCTCCTCCTTCTCCTTCTCCTCCTCTTCCTCCTCCCCCTCAACTCCGGAAGGCGGCCTCGGATAATTCTTGGAACGGGCAGGGTCTAGTGCAGGTGCCCGATTTGCACGATTTCCGTTGGGGGCTCAAGAGACTCAAGAGTAAGGGAAAACACGCCTGGGCTGGCATTTTGCGAGCGGTAGCCACGGGCAAGAGTTGGACTAGGAGCCGCATGCAGGAGTGTAGCTTGTCGCCGGACAACACCTGTAGGCCTTGCGGTGATCTTTGTGAGTCGGACAAGCACCGAGCCTGGTGCTACCCGAAGAATGCGGAGCTCTGTGAGGTCTCGGAGTTCGTTGTTAGGCGAGCCAGAGCAGATGCAGACAACAATCCCAGTTTTTGGATACGAGGGCTGGTGCCCCACTCCTGGGCCACTGTGCCCCCCCCCGTCTGAGGCAGCCGACTTCCGTAGGCTCGGTGGTGAGTTGGGGGAGGTGGCTGTGAACGGTTTTGTTTTCGGTGGGGGGGGGGGCGCCAGTGGCGGCCAGGACACACAGGATCCAGCGCTTAGGCGAGTTGATTGGTCTTGGGTGGCGATGCCGGGAATCGAAGGTACTGGTCAATGTTCCATCGACCGCCTCTCGACCCACTCCGCAGCTTTTGGCAACGTCTCTGGTGCGCGCCAGTCTGTGAACAGAGGGCAAGCCTTGTGTCTCGTGGAGTTTGTCCGCGCGGTCTTCCCAGTTGCCTCTGCCTGTTTTGTCGCGCACTCTTCGTATGTTGTTAATACTCTAGCCAAGCTGGGAGTTTGAATCCAGCCTGAGTCTCACCTTGATGTGTGGCACCAGTTGCGCGACCTGCTCAGGACCCACCCCGATCGGGGCCTGGTCCTGGTCAAGGTCGAGAGTCATCAGGATGTCAAGCTTGTTTTACCAGCGGGCTCGGATCAGTTGCACTTCTTAACCAACGAGCTAGCGGACAATATCGCCAGCTCGTGGGCGGACCACTTGCGCGCGCCTGAGAAGGATAGGGACAGTCGGTCCTTCGCCCAGGCCATTGCGTACCAAGTGAGACAGCACTCGGGCTCTTCTTTGCTGGCCTCCATTGAGGCAGATGGGATGAGGATTCCCCGCCAGAAGGATGTGGTGCGACATTTCCGTGATTTCAAGACGCAGCTGGACTTGACTGCGCACTCGCCCGAGGATGGCCTGCGTTCGAGAATTTCATATAAAGTCTGTGGAGGCTCGGCGCCGCGTTCCTTGGCCAGGCAGTTTTTTGAGCACGCCCTGCCACCCAGGTCTGTTCAATGGGGTCGTGATGATCCCGAAGGGTGCAGTGGTCAATGGGCAGGCTCTACACCAGTCCCACATGTTAGGGTACAGTAAGACGTCGGGTACTACGGTTTGTTTCTCGTGTGGCTTCATCGCGGCCTTAGCCGTGAGGAATTTGAAGCACCCGTGTGCTGGTCGCTTGAGCGACTACGGAGAGAGAGTGCTGAAGAAGGTTGCCAAGGGGCAGCCTCCAGGACGCAGCAAATGGGCCCGTCAGAATCAGGTCATCAAGACCCGACGGCACAAGTGAGTGTACAGTATGGCATAGCCAGGAGCAAAACAAAAATCCTCCTCCTCTTCCTCCTCCACATTTACTCAATATGAATACTACGCTCCCTCTTCCCCTGATGACGGTTTGAAAGTGGCCGACCCCCCCCCGCGTATGGTTTTTTACACAGGTTTCCCTTGATCTGGGTTTTCGCTTGCATTTTTTCAAAAAATGCTGCTGTCGCTGAGGCGCCGGCCTCATTTTCGGGTCCCGCTCATTCCGAATCGTGCTCCCGCTGCAGCGTTGGCCTCATTTCCGTGCTTCCGCTCGTTCCGAATCGTGGTCCTGCTGCAGCGCTGGCCTCATTTCCGCGCTTCCGCTCGTTTCGACTCGTGCTCCCGCGCTGGCGTCATTTCCCGTGCCATGCCACGGCATGTAATGCAATGCTAGGTTGATGCTACGGTTTGCGGTGCTCTCCTACGCCATGCCACGCCGTGCTCTACAATGCACCGCGTACCTTTTCGGGATCGTTGCCCTGCTCGACATCCGACGGGGCGAGTAGAGAGGGGATCTGCGCCATGGTAAGGGGTGGGAGGGAGGGGTGGGATGTCAGATATGACGCGAGCGCGCCTAGCTTCTCCTCCCCTCCTCCTCTTCCCCCTCCTCCTCCCCCTCCTCCCCCTTCCCCCTCCCTGTTTTTTCTTTCTCCTCCTCCCCACGTCCTGCAGTTTTGCGGAGGCCGCCGCGCGACGGGGCTGGAGGCCGAGTCCGTTCGCAGGTCCTGTCTGGTGTCGCCAGGCCTCGACGACAACGATGCGTTATTGTCTCCCCCCTTCTTCTGTCGGCGGGGAGTGAACTCGCCCTTTCTTCTCCTTCTCCTCCTCCTCCTCCTCCTCCTCCTCCTCCTCCTCCTCCTCCTCTCCTCCCCCCTTTCCTCCTCCTCCTCCTCCTCCTCTCCTCCTCTCCTCCTCCTCCTCCTCCTCCTCCTCCTCCTCCCCCTCTTCCTCCTCCTCCTCCTCCTCCTCCTCCTCCTCCTCTTCCTCTTCCTCCTCCTTTCCCCCCCTACTCCTCCGTAGTCGCAATCTAGTAGACGTGGTCGGTAACTACCCGTAGGCATCGTGGCATAGTCGTAGTCGCAGTCTTGGTTGCAGTCGTAGTCATAGTCGTATTCGTCGTCGTCGTCCGATTCGTCGTCGTCGTCATTGTTGTGCGGCGGGTGCCGCGATTAACAATCAGATGCCGCTGCTGGAGGGACCTTGGTCCGCAAATAAGGTCGACGAAAAGATATTCAGTTTCCAACGACAGGGGGGGAGTTGATGATCGATCCTGGTCATGACTATCACGATGATGTGGATGGCGATGATGATGGCGATGTCCATGGTGATGGTCATGACACATGTGATGATGATACTGTGGACGATGATGTTTGCGATGATGCTGATGCTGGTGATGCTGATGCTGATGGTGATGATGTGATGGTGATGATGCTGAAACTGCTGATGGTGATGATGATGATGTTGCTGCTCATGGTGAAGAAGTTGATGATGCTGATTGATATTATGATGGTGATGGTGGTGATGGTGTTGTTGTGATGATGATGATGATGATGACTGTGATGCTGTTGGTGATGGTGATGGTGACGAGGATGGTGACGATGAAGTGAATGTTGTTGATAGTGATGATGGGGAGAATGCTGATGCTGCTGCTGATGATGCTGATGATGCTGATGATGATCATGATGATGATAAGGATGATGCTGATGATGATGAGGATGATGATGCTCATGATGATGATGATGCTGCTAATGATGTCGATGATGTCGATGGTGGTGATGAATATGATGGGGATGATGCGGGTGATGGTGGCGGCACTGGTGAATGATATCATGATGATGTTGTTGGTGGTTGCGTTGGCGACGGTGATCATCATGACCCGCTTGCCAAGGAGACAGCGGCCCGCTGGGTTCCGGCCGAGCCCCGAGCGCACACGCGGCGACATTCGAGCGGGCGACCCGGAGAGCGCCGCAACGCCGAACCCCCTGTCCTCGTTGTCGTCGTCGTCCTCCTCCTCCTCCTCCTCCTCCTCCTCCTCCTCCGTGCACCGTCATCATCCTCCTCTTTCCTCAACTTGCTTTTCCTCCTCCTCCTCCTCCTCCTCCTCCTCCTTCTGGACCCCCGTGTTCTCCTCCTTCCCCTTCACTTTTCTCCGTCTTCGCTCGTCCGTTGTCATGACTTCTCTGTCCTCCGTGTTCTTTGTCTCCTCCTCCTCCTCTTTCTCCTCCTCCTCCTCCTCCTCCTCCTCCTCCTCCTCCTCCTCCTCCGTTTCCTGGCGCCTCGTGCACCCGCGCGCGGGCTGCGGATTCACGGCGGCCGAC